AGATATAGATATCTATATCTATGTCTCTATATCTAGATATAGATATAGAGATATAGATATCTCTATCTAGATATAGAGATAGAGATATCTATATCTCTATCTAGATATAGAGATAGAGATATAGATATCTCTATATCTAGATATAGAGATATCTATATCTCTATCTATATCTATGTCTCTATATCTCTATATCTAGATATAGAGATATAGATATCTATATCTATATCTAGATAGAGATATAGATATCTATATCTCTCTCTATATCTAGATATAGAGATATAGATATAGAGATATATATATGAAACAAGTCCCTTTATGTAAAAATGGCAAAAGAGTAATTGAAAAAATTCATTTCATTTCGACGTGTCGTCCCTTGAAGCCACACAGAGGGTGTCGAGCTAGATTGTTTCCTCTTGACTGAAATCCTCTGTATTTACATTCCTGAAGTCACTTCTCAATTGAATATTTTGACATTCTTCTCCACTCAGCCAACTGTCTGAAAGAGTTTTTCTCTATGCGTGGGTTTTCCCTGAATTCTGTAGTTACTGAGCTCACCACAGCATTTCGTCTGTAAAGACCGAACCCGACAGTCGATCGAGCAGTTTTCACCACGTGTCCCGTAGCTTTGGTTTTTCCATTGAGATCTCTTTGGATTGCAAACAGTTTGCAAATGCAAAGACATCATCATCATCAAAGCATTCGCCATTGAATAATTAAGAAATAGAGCAAAAAAGTCCAATTACTCTATGAACCTGGAGAAACTGAAGAAAACAGGAATGTCTGCAATGTGAAAGTCCTTAAATGAAAGTCTGCAGTTCAATCACAGCATTATTGCATCATTTAAAACCATCGGTGTAACTAACCTAACTAACTAACTAGCTAACCCTAGCGCACAAATACAAAATTGTGAAAATGATTCTAATGTCCAAAATGTAAGCAGATTTTTTACCATCCTGATATGAATGTAGCTGAACAGGTGAAAAATACAATCAAACCCACCTTTAGCTTCCTCAGAGGAACGGCCTCCCAGTCAATCGTTTTAAACCATCGGTGCTTTTTCACGTCGTCGGCTCCATTCTGAAACACACAGCACGGATGTGTTGGGAATATGTATCTGCCCTCTTTCCTCACTTCACAGTTTTGTATATTTGTCACTCTTTAATGTTCAGTCGCCTGAAATATTGTTCAAAGAAAACCAGAGTAAAGGCAAATGTTTAAATAATGATGACAGAAAGATGCTAAACCAACCTCGCCCCGATACAGTAACTGTAACATTTTGTTACACCCGGGAAATTCCAGCAGTTGTAACAAAGTAAAATGTTACAGTTACTTTATTACAAATGACGGAATTTCCTGGGTGCAACAAAATGGAAACATCTCATATTCATGGCTTCTGATTTTTAAATCTTTATAGAGTTTTGAAGTGTACTATAATCACAAAATGATGACGTTATTATTAATCCACAGATTCAATATTCATATAAAGTCAGGCATTATTAAAGCTTTGAAAGGAAAAAATAGGACGACACATTGTCAAAAGGAAATGTGGCACTTTTCTACTCAAAGTCAAAGGAGCTTGCAAAGAAAAGCGTCTGGACTTCTTTAAGTTACTTGAAGA